CTTGTACCCCTGGTGAACATAAAAATAGCTGGTAAATAGATGTTCATCCCTCTAAAAATGGTATTAATAGGTATTGATTCATAGCCACATCTTTTCATCATCAAGCACCTTCACAAAGCCCATGAGCTCCAGCACGTCGCCCACCTTGCTTCTGGGAATCGCCAAAACCTTCGCGGCTCCGCCGCGAAGCAATCGGAAAATTCCATGGGAAAATATGGTACCCGGCCTGGTAAACATAGAAAAAACGATGGAAAATCACCATTTTTAATGGGTAAATCAACTATTTCTATGGTCATGTTCAATAGCTATGTTTGACATAACCAGAGGGTAAACTGGTTGGTGGTTGGTACGCCTACCCCTCTGAAAAATCATGGACTTCGTCAGTTGGGATGATGAACTTCCCAACTGAATGGAAAGTCATAAGTCATTCAAAATTCCATGGTTCCAGTCACCACCAACCAGGTAAAAAGAATGCAACAAAAATGATCTGGACCCCAAAATGGAACCAGGGAACCAAGCTTTCATTTTTCTACCATTCAAAACATGGGGATTGAAGCAAAAGAAAGGGTGATGTCATGGTGTTTCAACAGGGATCTATCTAACCATCAATTCATGGGGGATTTTAACACTGCAAAAAATATGGGGATTTCGTGGTGATTTCATATGATTTAATGCTGATGTTGGTTGATCATGAGTGATTTTAGGTACCAAAAATCAGTATCAGTGACCATAGTGATCAGTATTTAGGTCCAACCATAGTGATCATTAGTGATCAGTATGACCATGGTTGGACCCCCATAAATCCGCCGGACATCGGCTTTATACCGACTCATTGTAGCGGAAAGTGTCCTAAAATGGGGGTTTCCTAAAATGGGGGATCCCCAAAATTGATGGTTTACAATGGAAAACCTCATTAAAATGGATGATTTGGGGGTACCCAAATTTTTAGGAAACCTCCATTTGGGTGCCAATATGTTTTTGATGAAGAAAATGTTGAAGCGGATACAAAGCCAATGTTGAATTCTTTGAACGAAAGAGATGAGGCTGGAAAGTCGTGTGTAAAGACCCAGCCAATGTCCCAAAAACATCCAAGAAAAGGAATCTAGAACCGGCGATGGGCGCGCCAAAAGGAAAGGAGATGTAATGTGGGACTCACCCAATTTCTGGTGATATCGGGGATAGTCTATTTTTGCGTTTACTTCATTACTTAAAATTGTGTAACCAAGAAAAATATAGTACAATAGCTAAACAGTTTCATGTACATCACGTTTGAACCCAAGGTATGCCCCTATTGATGGCGTGGACAGACAAATCATTGATAGGTTTCTAGAAACGGTTGCTAGGAGATTTCTAAGTTTGTTTGAACTCTTACCTTGCATTGGTCTCTCTTTACACCAATCACGTGATAACTAAAATAGCACCCTAAAAATATACATCTGAAAAGAACTCAAATTTGTGTTGCCTGAAAAATTGGGTGAAAACCACCCAAAATTTTATGGTTCATCATAATTGCCCCGTTAAAACATACTAAATTCTTCATAAATTGAGGTATCCTATCATAACCATTTTCAGACACTGGTTTCACATTTCAGTTTCACATTTCAGGTCCCAGCCATGCCCCAGAATGAACCAGTCTCTGTTTTATTTAAACACTTTCATTTTGTGGTTGAAATTCCAAAATTCACTATCTGACAAGTCAAAAAAAAACAAAGCAAATCAGACCACTCAGGTCCCAATTTTCCTCACCTCTTTCTGATCATTCAAGGCAATGAAGTTCCTCTCAGGACATTGGTCAAAGGCTGCCAGCAGTTCCCGTTCCAACCGTGCGCCGTAATAGGCTTTGGAACGCCGCCCTAAACGGGGAATGGATTGCTCTCGGAGGTGAATCCTTGGCGTGGATGGAGATGGGGGTTCCGGTTGATTTGTGACCCAAAATTCGATGGAATTTCGATGATTTTCAAATGGTTTTGATGTTTTTTTATATTAGTTTTTAAATGATGTTCAATGATTTTTCGATGGTTTGGGGTGTTTTTCAATGGGACATGATGGAATACGACCCACTTTGTGGGGTGCTACGTACGCGTGGTCAGAACCATCCACAATTTGTCAAGAACCAAGACCCTCTGAAACCGCGGATGTTTGTGCATGCTTGGACATAAACAGCATCCACTTGGTCAAATTCCAAATTTCACCCACGTCGAAATCTTCATGATTCCTGCCAAAATGCGCAATTGGCCGAACATTGGCTATAAAATTGACCGCGTATTTTTTATTAAAAAAACAACAATCACAAAACCTTGTCATCTCTAGATTCGCCGGCTGGTTGACAAAATTTGTTACCACATTGGACTCAATGATTATTCCTTTTCAAACACCTGGGACAACCACATGTCTCACTGTTGACCACCATCATTTAACGTTTTTAGTTGATTTCATTTTGGAAGTTCATGCCCCCGTGTTTGCTGTTCCATTGTTTTTCACATGTGCAAGTTGCAAATTTTTGCAACCATCAACCATCAACCATCAACCATCAACCATCAACCATCAGCAAACCATCACGCAGCCACAAAATCCAGAAACTCATTCCTTGCATCCCTTCCGAATCTTCCGAATTTTCCAAATCCAAGGTACAAGGCTTCTCGTTCTCGCATCTCTTGGCGGTGTTTCCGTTCCTCCGCTTCCCGGTAGAGGATCTCATCCAGGCCAGGCAACACGGTGGGAACACCCAAGGACACAGCCGGCGGCCGCGAACTCAACGACTCCATGGCGGGAAAGAAAAACACCGTTTTCCGTCGTTCTGTTTTGTGTGTGTGTACATGTTTTTGTGTGTTAAAGTTTCTACGGATCAAAAAAATAAAAATAAAATTGTGAAAAAGTTTTCTTCGTAAAAGTTTCTACACGTGTAAAAACACATGTGACATGTATGTAAAAGCACCTGTGTGTGTGTGTGAAAACAATTTTCTCCCTGTGTGTGACAGGCGCTGGTGAAGGAAAAGATGCATTCGATTTCTTCGTCAGTTCGATCTATTTTTTCTTGACTAAAGCTCTGGGCCCGAACGGCTGCAAAGAAAGTGCCTTCGAGCCATCAAAGCAACGACAAGGCACCACCTACCAACTTCGTCCAGCTTCACGCACCCTCATCCCTCAATCTAGCGTTGAACAACGCCTTCCATCTCTTTTTTGGGGCCCAAATTGCAACATTGAACTGCCACGACAGCACTGCAGCGATGACGCTGCAACGGCAAAGGGGTGGTTTAAGGGGGGGCTTAAGGGGAGCCTTAAGGGGTCATGAAGGGTGCCCCCCCTTCCCCCCCTTGAAGGGTGGAAGCCCTTAAGGGTTGGGGGGCTTAAGGAGGGCTTAAGGGGGGGCTTAAGGGGGGCTTAAGGGGGGGCTTCAAGGGGAAGGGCTTCAAGGGGGCTTCAAGGGGGGCTTCAAGGGGGGCTTCAAGGGGGGCTTCAAAGGGGGCCAGGAGGGCTTCAGGGGAAGTTTCAAGGGGGGCTTCAAGGGGTAGCCTACTACTACTACTACTATTACTACTACTACTACTACTACTACTACTACTACTCCTCCTACTCCTGCTACTACTACTCCTGCTACTACTACTACTACTACTCCTGCTGCTACTACTACTACTACTACTCCTACTATTACTACTCCTACTACTACTACTCCTCCTACTCCTGCTACTACTACTACTACTACTGCTGCTACTACTACTACTACTACTACTAGTAGTACTACTACTACTACTACTACTCCTGCTGCTACTACTACTACTACTACCACTACTACTACTACTACTACTACTACTACTACTACTACTACTACGACTACTACGACTACTACGACTACTACGACTACTACGACTACTACGACTACTACTACTACTACTACTACTACTCTACTACTACTACTCCTACTACTACTACTACTACTACTACTACTACTACTACTACTACTAGACCCCCCTTGAAGCCCCCCTTGAAGCCTTCCTTGAAGCCCAGCTTGAAGCCACCCTTGAAGCCCTTCCTTAAGCCTCCCCTTAATCCCCTCCGTAAGCGCCCCCTTAAGCCCTCCCTTAAGCCCCCCCTTAAGCGCCCCCTTAAGCACCTTCCCTTAAACCCTCCTTAAGCCCCGCCTTAAGCCGCCCCTTAAGCCGCCCCTTCAAGCCCCCTTTTGTGTGAAGGGTAGTGAGCCCCATATGCAGGTCGGAGCGTCCTGTGAGTACGACCAGAGCAGCGCAACAGTTCTGCTACAACATACCCGTCACCATGCGCAGGGTCCAATGTGTCAGTCAGCTGACTCTTCCGGTCACTCATACGACCGATAGGAATGCCACACTGGACATACCCATAGCAAGCCGCTTCAGCTTGCACTCGCGGCAACTCTGGTTGCCTAAAAAGGCTTCTGACCACTGCGTCACACTCAAAAACATGCCAAAAATACGACATTCAGTGAAACCTGAAAATCGAAACATTCAGCCTGCCTTCTTAGGCATAAATGTCACGAACTGTACATGATCACGGGCCTATACTGCCTCTCTCAGCGTCCTCTCAGATGAGCTTGTACAGAAGGCCTCAATGTAAGGGACCTCAATCGTCCATTCTCTGTGGGCAAGAAAGTCGCAGTGGTCATTGTACCAAGTACCCCCCCAGCATAGGAGGCATAAGGTAGTGGCGCTCAGGAAGGTTCGCAAACCAGTGAAAAACTTCCATATGGCCTTTGCAAAACATAGAGTGCAGGGCCCCTAATTTCATAGGGGAGATGTGCATACCTGAAAAAGTGATCGAGCTCTGCCAGCGGTACTCCTCAGCCGAGTTCTACTGGAGCAATCCAGTGGTGCTCACTGTAGGACAGTGGGGCGCCCGCGAGCAGCAAAAGCCTGCCAGCATGGTTCGCTCCTTGGTGGACGAGAACGGTGACTCTGCAGCCTGCCCACTCTGCGGGTGAGTGGTACTGGTTTGGGAAGCACTGCTGACGTCTACTTTGTGCACTGCAACGCACTGCAGGTCATTCAGGGACGATGACATCCTGACATGTCCTGAACAGTTCTGCGGTTGGCCCTTTTAACGAACCTGCAACAACCAAAGCTACGTTGCTGAAAGTAAAGATGGTATGACTACGCTGCTGTTTGGCAGTCATATCGATTTTTGGCTTGCTTTCGCTGTCCAAGTGTGGAGTCACCGCATTTATGGCTTCACGATATCTGCACGCCTGATAACCTTTTTGCATGCTTTCTCGCGTATGTAAGAGCCTGATCCATGGCTTCGGCCGGTTACCTACAACCCCTCTCAAAGTACACCGGTTTGTGCCAAGCCATCGTACTGGATGCGTCGAGATGGTAGTGAATTCATCCACGAATTCACTTGGAAATGGACGGCTCTTATTGAATAGATTTGTTTTGGACAAGTGTCATCTACGGATGAACTATGATATGTGGTTTTCAACGTTTTCTGGAAGCTTGCATTCTGCATGAGGTTTTCGCCGAGTATCAACAACGGTTGAGGATTTTTTTTTTCCTCCGGTTTGGCCGATTCGCACTAGGCACGGTCCTTACAATAGCGTAAGCGGTGAAAAGCATTTAGAAAAAGGACTCGTGTGGTCCAAAAACGCGGGCAAATCATCACATCAACACAAACAAAAAGCCAAAAAACAAAAAAACGCAACCAAAACGACCCGCAAATCCCCCAGCCAGATTTGCGTTTCGCCATAAAGCAAACAGCGAAGCAACAAAGAACGGGGCCGGGCCCAAACAAGAACCAAACCAAACAACTTGAGATTTGCCTTGAATACAGTGACCTAAGCCACTGTATCGTCATCAAAAGCATGCAAACTAATTAAGTGCGGCAGAGCGAAAAATATAGTACACGATCACCCAGATTCTAATCATCCATACATCCGTGACTGTCACTCCAGCTCTCTGAAAGGTAGGCAAAGCAGGAATAGCTGACAGTACAGCTCGTATCAGTTGCCATTCTCATTGTCAAAGTTGGTCCTATGATGATGAGTGAAGTTGGAGTCCAATCTCTGTAGTAAGATACTGCCGCAGTGGTGATGTGACTCAATACCCCCCTCAAGGGGGGTAGGGATTGACAGCCTGTAGGTCATGCAGGACAATAACTGTAATTCATCCCAGATGCTGTCATATCGTAGGAAGCCAAGAGGACCTGAAACGGTGCCAATGGTGAAAGATCTCCGCAGATAAAAAGGATCCTCTCCGTAAGGTCATTGCAGATGAATGGAATACACTCGTGCAGAGGGGAGGCTTAAGCAGAGAAAGATTGCTACTCAGCGACCTGTACACAATTGCGCCGCTCGCACATGGCAATCGAGCTCAAGCCACAAACTTGAAGAGGTGGCTAGGTTTGCTGTACCAGCACCAGATTGACTAGCAGGATTCACAAGGTGTCATCGTCCCAGCAAAAACTGCTGCAAGTCAGATGTTCCAGAGGTTCGCAGTGCATCTCACATAGGGCCACTCTCCCCTAGAGTGAGCCATGAGCAGAATCACAACGTCCCATCAGCGCACCGATCCATGTTGGCAGGCTTTGCTGCACTAGGGCGCTCCAGACTGAACAGCAGGAAGCACCACTGGACAGCGCCAGTAGTGCTCACTGCAGTGCAGCCTGGTCCATGGCTCTACCGGGGATCTACCGCCCCTCCCGGAGAAATCGCAGAAACAAAACAGAGCGAGAAGGGCCCTCCCCAGACAGCCAACGAAAAAGCCACATGGATCAAACAGCCCAAAACCGCAAAAGGACATAAAAGAGGTAAAACGGAGAGGAGGGGACGGTGACAGGAATCTGCCCCACCGCGAACGAATTCAGAGTAACTAGAGATAAGACCAATGTAGTGAAGGTGAAATGACAGAGCAATGATGTAGAGCGGTTGCCTCAGTGTCCAGGCAACAGGTAAACCAGAAGACACAACAACCACCAAAGAGAACCCTGCCATCATGGGGGAAAGCAAATCACAAGAGGGGGGAGAGGCCAAAACAAAACACACACAACGACACCGGCCACACAGAAGGAGCGAGGAGAGGAGCCAGGAGGCAGCAGAGGACAGAGGGAGAGGGACACACCCGCACCAGAAGGGGTACAAACGTGCCTTAGCGGAGTTCAAAAAAGGGGCCAAGGATCATACTATGATGAATACCTCAGTGAGGGTGCACACAGCACTCCAACAACACAGGAAACATGGTGTAGAGGGAACGAGCCCCACACAGGGCCAAAGGCCTTTAGTGCCATGAGACACAATGAAGAGGGGAAATCAATGCACAACAATCACTCCAAGCACAGAGGCAAGGCAACCAGGCCGTCGCCGGAAGCAACGATACCCAGAGGGAGGGACCAGTAAAACCTGGACCAAGGCGCCAAGGAGGAACATCCGAGGGGGAGTGAGGGTCACGTCAGGCAGGGAACAGTAACCACAAACCGAAAAGGACAGAAAAAGGCACCAACACCTAATGTAGCTCTGCGGATGGCAAAACCTATGGATGAGTCAGCGAATTCAAGTGCCTTGGTTGGTGGAAAGGGTGGGGGAGTGGGTGGCTAATCAAGACTACATCTGGGGACAACAACAGCATCTTCACCCATCGATGATTGTCAGGCAAAGACTGTGAGAAAGCGAGTGCGTGCACTAGGCTTCATGGCAGAGGCAACCTTAGTACAAGCTAAGCTCTCGACGGGACAGCACATTCAGAAAGCGGGTATTAACGAAGCCATGCGGCCCGATCTGTTATGCCTAAGCTGGCACTCGCACACA